CGGGGATTTGATATTTTTCCCCTCACTCATTTCCGCAAATGTCACGGCTCTTTGGTGTTCCTTCAATTGCCTCACCTTGAAGCCCGATGTGAAACTTTTGTTTACTGCTTAGCAACAGCCGTGGTATTATCGAAAATAATCGTTATCATGTGCATCACTTCATGTAATCGTTATCAAATCCCGTGCTCTTATTCATTGAGATTTGAATGAGGGCACGCTCGGAATTTTTGATTTGCAAAACTTTCCCCTCTTGTTGCTACACAGGGAAACGAGAGAAATATCTGATGAATTTTGAAGGTGGTATTCGATGAAATATCTTTGGCTGTCGTTTTAGCCAAAAACTCCTTCGTTATCAAGTATTTTTTCACTTTCTATCGCAATGTTTTTAACAATCATTTGGCTAAGAAAAAACAATTGCAAAGCTAGCGAGAAATTATCAAAAACTAGAATGGAATTATCAATTCAATACTGAATCGGGATGTACTCCATGTGATTAAATACTACACTCTCATTGACTAGTATTCGAAGGCCCAAATAATCTAAATAATTTTTATCCCACTTCACGGAACAACGTCAAATACACAGCATTTCTATATTGTTGAACATTTTCGCCTGAATTTTCCGTGCCAAATTCCGGAAATTTTTATCGTGTTCCAGTTCCACTGAAATTTCAGGAAAAGGTTTCATTGAAAAACCAAATATTCCATTGAGTTGCTGTTCAAATGATCTGGAAGGCAATAAAATATTTGATTTTTCAGTTCAATTATTCTGTGGAAATTCCGAAAAATCAGAAAAATCCTGAGAAAAATTGAAAGTTTTATGTCATTTGGTGTTCAGTCTCATATAAATGAAACTGTAGAATATAAAAAAAAATGTGAAAATAAGCAAAGAAATTTAATGTAAAGGCAACGTTTTTTTTTGTCCAGCAATGTCTCTCTTCAAGGTCATAAATTATCTCATCCTTAAACTCATAGTCGGAAATAGAAAAAATTAGAAACTTTTCACTTGGGGAAAATATAGAAAGGCACGTACTGGCCATAAAATTCGAGCGCACGGAGGGACCGTTTGTACCCATTTTTTGCTATTTGAGATTTTCCCCAAAGGTCCCAAAATGGAGTCCCAGGGCTGCTTCACAAATCTCTCCTGTATTTCACGCTTCTTCTAGAAATTCACCAAGAAGAAAATTGAGAGAAATTTCCTTTAAAATATATTTGCCTTCAGTAACCCTCACTCTTGAAAATTTGTCTTTAAACACACCCCTTCTTCCTCACTTACTTCGGAAAGAAGGAGAATGAAAACAGTTAGCTTCACGATATCGTAGAGACAAGACATTTTCCTCTGTACTCTACCAAATGTTGATACCAAATATCCGTAATTTTGTTCAGTTGTTTAAGTGATTTGTGCAATTATTCATCATCTTTAAAAAGTCATTAACGTTATTTTATCGTAGTGCATAAACAACTCAGTGTAAAAACATTTCTTATTTTTTCATAATTAATATATTCAACTTTATTTAGTAAATGTGAACAGTGTTTAATTTATTTGCGTACACTTCAATCTACCCAAGACATTTTCGGATTACTCGCCGCTAATGCCAAGTACGGAAGTTTGGGTCATCGTACTGTAATCTGGGGCTTACAACCTCAGAGAAGAGGCCCAAAAATTAAAGGTCAATCGCGACGACCGTCCAGTACATCAAACATTTGGCTTCTGAATATTCATGTTCCACTGAAAATTCAATCAACTTGTGAAATTTGCATCTCACTCCTACTAAAAACTCATGAAAATCCAAAATAATGAAATAATAATCATCGTTGATTATGATGGGACATCGCAAACTATTGCAATCTCAATTTCCCGGCCTTCAAAGAGAACTTTTTTCCTCTGTGAAAAATTCCATAAATCAAAGTGTACAAATCTATTCTACACTCAGAAAAAATGATTCATTTGAATAGAATAACTAAGATTCTTTGAATAGTACCAAATAAAGTCTTTTAAAAAAAATTTATTGGTTCTGTGCATTTTGAATGAATATTTTTTCGCTACTAATGAATCTTTATTTCAATCAAATAAATTTTTTCTTTGATCTAAATAAATATTTAGTTGATACTGATAATTTATTATCGCTTTGTGATGGTAAACTCGAAAAAGATTGAACGACAAACGTGCAATAATACTCCCTCACGGAAAAAATATATATGCGAATAATTATATATGGGACATATGTTGAATATATGTATACATGCACATATATGTGACACATACATCATGCACATATCTCACATCTTGCATATTTGGCCGCACATATATGTGGATGTAATTGATATATATGTCTCACATATGTTTTCCATGCGGGTTACGGGCTGTACATATATTACGTAAGACATTAAGGAGGGGGGGGGGGGAAGAAATTTCTGTTCCATGGTTTTACTATCAGGGAGACAATGGTGAAAGAAGATCGGATGTACTGGAGTGAAAAGTATAATCAAAAATTGGATTAGAATAATTTTACATTTCCTGGATTTCGTTCCTATGACCTTTTTCCACTTAGTTGGTTTGAAACACCCAAAATGGTCAAAACGACTTTTTTCAAAATGAGAAAATTCTTTATTTGAAATAAATAAATGGTTTTTTCAAATTGATGAAAAATTTTATTTGAAATAAATAACATGTTTGTTTGATAATTAAATCCTTTTTCTTGAAACAAGTAAGTTTATTCATTTGTAACAAAAATATTCTTGAAATAAGTAAATAATTCCAAATAAAATTTTTTATTTGATTCAAAACAACCATTTTTCTGGCTGTATGGTTAGCCCGAAACTTTCAATGCGAGGGTCTTTGAATGTCTGACTGAATTTGAGGGTCTGACCAAAGCCACTTCGAATCACTGAACATCTGAATTCGCTCATTTTTCCCAAATCCGTTCAAATTAAATCATTTAATTGAATTATTCCTTGCATTTTTGGTCCCCTCAGCGGTTAAAGTTTCCAGCATTCAATATTTCTGTAAAACATTCGAAATAACTGTATACACTGCGCGTTATAGTTAACTAGAGTTGAGAATGTACGGGATAGAAACCACGGAAACTCGTCGGAAAAACATCTGCGGTCGTGGGGCTGTAGGAGGCAGCTCGTTACTACTCTAGTATTCTCTTTTTTCCCTATTCCCCTGTCCCTCTCACTCTATCCCACGCGTCATATCATACTGGGATAGTGTAATATCACTCGACTGCAGTGCAACTCGCTGGGGAATATAACCAGATATAACCACTTGCGCCAGGATGTAGATAAGTTTACGTCAGTAGGAAAACCTCAGTGCTATATATGGCTTTATTTTAAATGTCAGGGTAAATTGTGAATTCCCTTCACATTTCGATTTTTCTTACTGTGAAAAAGAGGTCGAAATCAAAATGGTACATTTTTACTGTCAGAGATGGGAAAATATTATTTCTCGCGTTTATGGAAATTCAGGATCAACTCATGCACCCAGGTAATTCAATTATGTCCATGTTTTTTTTTTCTGTTTTACACTGATAGAATGATTCATTTATTTCAAACGAGATTCGTTAACTATTAACGAATGGTAGAGTTGAATATGACCAAATGAATATTCGTTAATAGTTAACGAATGGTTCACTTGAATGGCGAAAGTCAAGTCAAACAAGGCTCTTCAAATGTACATTCGTTAACTATTAACGAATGAACATTTGGTGGGACCGAATAGACCCTAACCTCCAACCAAAATCCATTCGTTAACAATAACTAATCCGTTCTATCAGTGTACTTGTCTGGGTTTATTCTTATTTTCTCAAGTTTGTAGGCATCTATCATAATGGGAAAGCAGTAATGTGAGGCATTGATGAGAGATCAATTATCAAATAAAAACTATTGTAATGCAAATTGGGAGGATTGCTCCCAATTGAGGGGAGACTACTATGAGTTTGAAAAAAAAACGGGCCATTGGAGCGAGATTTTTCATACATTGACGATCGATTAAATATATCTAAAAACTAATAATTAGTGCAAAAAAATTAATTGTTTATTATATTCGTTTGACGCGTAGACGTTTTAAATGTTTAGAATCGTTCAGGGCTGCCAATGTTTGAGGTACAAATGTTTTTTTTTCGAAATTTTTGAGAAAATGTGTACAATAACCAATAGGAGCTATTTTTTTCTTAAATTCGACTACTACCGAGAAAAATGTTTCTGAAAGAATCGAGAATATATTTTCATGACGCTGCGCGAAATAGTAACTCTTTAGGCACGCTGCCTAAAATGTCCCTTTTCTACACATTGTGATGAAAAATATCGTTTGATATTCGTGGGAAAAGTGTTTTTTGGCTCGTGGGAGGTTTATAGCACGAGCCGAAGGCGAGTGATATAATCCCACGAGATCTTTTCCGCACTCGTAACGAAATATACTATTTCAATATTTTGAGGCTCATTTTTCATGAATGGTGCAATTTTTGATATTTTTATGGTGGAAAATTGATTGTTTAAATATTACTTATAGAAAATGCTCGTAATTTTCAAAAATTGCAATCTTTCAATTATTTCATCAATCTTTCCCCAAGAGTAAACTTTCTAATTTTGTTTTCAGATTTTGAAAATGTTTTCTAACGCTTCAGTATCGACATTCAAAATCACACTTGCAAAGTTTAAATAATAAAATCATTGTTCAATGTCCGAAAACTTGGGGTCAAATGGGGCTCGAACGAAAGCTCTGATGTTCGACGGAAAAGTCGATAAGCATTTCACTGGTGAAACAATAGCCAAAGTACTAAGATATTCTTAAATTTAACTGCTATATAGAAGATACAGCCAGGTAGGATTTTTTCAAATATGTGGATTGCCACAAATTGAATTAAAAAAAAAATATCCGAATATGTTAGAAAATCCGAGAATTATCGAGAATTCTGGCGGATGGCGCTGGCTGTTAGAATTAACTGTGTGAATGACTCCCAGCATAAAGTTAAAGTCGTGTCCACGTCATACACTCACCACCAAGTTGAAGTTCAGCAGAAGCCTGAGCAGTGTCATCTCCACGTCTGACTATACACTGATACATTCCCCTGTCCTCCCTCCCAATTCCATTGAGTGTCAGTGTCTCTGACTGTCGTCCAGCACCCGGCAATTGTCTACCATCCTTGTACCACGTAATAAAATGCTGTCCAGCTTGTGAATGTGTTCCAACGACACAGGTAAATTCTGCATTACCCCCTAAATGGACACTCAACAATGACGGTGAAACTTCGACGTTCAGAGGCGCCATCACCACCAGCCTGAAATCATTAATTCAATTAGATATAACGTACAGATGAAACACACCCGTAAATTCAATCTATTCTGTATTAACACGAGTGATTGGAGTTTCAATTGGTTGTTTAATTGAAACTCACTGCAGTTTGCAATTTAGCCTCACTGGTCTTTATCCCTTGACTACCCCTCTAAATGACTGTTATTAAAGTTGAGACTAAACCCCCCTTCACTCTGTGATTACCAATGGGGCTGTCTTGATGCTCACCTGAGCTCAGCGCTCGTCTCACCACCGAGATTGGAGGCTAGACACTGATATACACCACTGTCGGACAGTGTCACTGCTTCTATGGCCAACACTGGGCCAAGTAATCTCATCCTAGGCCCGGATAATACTGGCATCTGTTCAGCTCCAGTTTGTGCATACCAT